CCAGGGAGCAGAGTGCCCTTCCCCTCCCCACAAACACCACAAACACCAGCTTCGGCCCGCTGAGTTCCTTGCTAATTCCTTTGCATCAAGCCCCATCTACTGGACCGTTCTGGAAAGAAGAATCAGAATCCATATGGACAGAGGCGGGCAACAGATAGCTTGGTGTTGGCAGGGACCAATCCTAGGACACCGTCGTAAGCAGTGATCCCTCTAAGCTGAGTTGGTGTGAGCTAGCTCATAGTTTTTTTAGACTCCAGCTCACACATTTTTGTCTTGGCTCAGGAAGGATGGCTCCAGAGCAAAATAAGTCATGCAGCAGCCAAATCACCTGCTCACAACTTGAATGCCAGTAGCTCACAAAGTAGAATTTTTGCTCACAGGACTCCACATTTAGAGGGAGCCTTGGTCGTAAGTCAGAGCAGGTTGATGAGAGCTGGTAGCAAAAAAGGAGGGTGCCAATGCACTGCAAGGGTTCAGTGTGCTGCCAACCACGATCGGTGCAGGAGATGATGGGGCATCTCCTCCCAGGCAGGCACAGCTGCCGGCTGGATCCAAGCCAAGCCCCGGTGGTGACGGGGAAGTGGCTTCGGTTGGACCCAGCCAGCGGCAAGACCAGATGGGTGAGCCTTGCTCGAGGCACCAGAACCACCTAGAACAGGCCTGTAGACTTAACCCCTCGCTTTGCTACTGCGAGGTCTGTCACTGTCTGCTTTAAGGGGATTTGTGAATGCCAGAGACAGACTGGGATAACTGCTGACTGCATGTCCGTGAACAGGAGCATGACCATGTGCCCCGGTATGCTTTGGTACAATCGGAGATCTCTTGCACTGGGGAAGAACTATCACAAATAGCCTGCAAAGACTACTAATATCCAGCAGAGGAAGTCCAGGAAAACTGGAAAGCAAGCTCACTGTGTGTGTGTGTGTGTGTGTGTGTGTGTGTATTTTTTTATATTGTGTGCGTGTGTGTGTGTGTGTGTGTGTGTACTTGCATGCCTGGGAGTCACGGTTGACATCTGGCAACCCCTAGTGGGGTTTGGATGTTTTTCAGAGAGGAGGCTTGCTATTGCCTGCCTCTGCGTCCCGACTAGCCCTGGTATTCCTTGGAGGTCTCCCATCCAAATACTTGCCAGGGTCGGCCCTGCTTAGCTTCTGAGATATGATGAGATCAGGCTTGCCTTGCCTGTCCAGGTCAGGGCAAAGACAGCTCACTATTGATGACTTTCAGCCGATGCCTATCCTGGTAAAGGCAACCACTGGTTTGCATTCCCAAAGCTCCAAGTTGTACTCACACGGTAACATCAGCATGTACGGTCCTGTACAGCCTTGCAGGGAGCAAAGTAAAAGGGACCTTACATTTCAAATGAACAAACTATCCAAATGTTAATTTGGAGGGGGGGTGGCAAGATCAGTAGAGCTTAAAACACAAAATACTATTTGCATGGGCGTAGAGCCTAAGCAACAGGAGTGGAGCTGCATGAGAAGACAGCAACTCCCTCCCTCCCACTGCAGCTTTTTGTGCTCCTGCAGGCTCACAGACTTGCGGGAACAGTGCAGGGGGAATATGGGGTGGGGGGAATCAGGAGAAATTACCCTTCCCTCCTCTGCCAATGAAAACGCTGTTCTGTAGGCAGATGCGCTGTTATACCAACAGAACAGCAATTCAAGATCGAAGCTACCATTTCTTTTAGTGCCGTAGAAGAATATCAAAAGTCACTGTTGGATCCGGGGTGACATATAGAAAGCCCATTCCTGATAATGTCACACCCTAGAGCTAGAGCAGTGGCCTTCAAGCCACCTACCATCAACAAGCCCTACCGTTATGGACTTTAAATAGCAGGGAGCCCCTGCTTGGCTGCTGGGCAACCAACCGTACAGTTTCACAAGTCCCACAGAGAACAGTCGGTGCAAAATGCCACTCAAGCCTATTGGGTCTCACCGGTCACCCATATGAAATGAGTATGGGAAAGCAAGAACAGACCTGCGCCGGGGAAGATTACTAATGGAGGAGAAACCAATCTTGGAAGGTGCCTGTCCATCATTGCTGATCTCCTCATGGAGGCTTTCCAGGTGAACAACTAAGGACCTCAGAGATTCTGGTCACCACACCTCAGAAAGAACATTATAGCATTGGAAAAAGCACAGAAAAGGGCAACTAGAATGACAAAAGGGTTGGAATACTTTCCCTGTGAAGGACGGTTAAAGCACTTGGGGCTCTTTAGCTTAGAGAAACGACGACTGAGGGGTGACATGATCGAGGCTTACAAGATTATGCAGAGCAAGTAGAGAAAGAGGTACTTTTCTCCTTTTCTCACAATACAAAAACTCGTGGGCACTCAATAAAACTGCTGAGCAGTCGGGTTAGAACAGATAAAAGGAAGTGCTTCTTCACCCAAAGAGTGATTAACACATGGAATTCACTGCCACAGGAGGCGGTGGTGGCTACACTCAAGAGGGAAATGGATAAATATATGGAGCAGAGGTCCATCAGTGGCTATTAGCGGCAGAATCTGGGCGGAAAGTGCATCATGGTGGCGCGGCGGCGCGGCACGGCAGAGCCAGTAGGACATGAGCAGGAGCTGCAGCTGGCGCGCACCCGCGCACACGGATGAGTCCACCAGAGGGAGTCGCTCTATCAAAGACCTGCTCCAAAAAATGCGTCAGGAGGTGGAACGCCCGAGAATAACAACACCCGGAACCCCGCTTGAAAAAAGAGCCGATCAACGACAACGGAGCCCTGCTGCCTGGGTGCCGGTAGGCAGTCACTTCCCCCATATAATGTGGCCCTAGATAGGTAATTAACAGTGTATGTAAACCGCTCAGAGACCCTTCGGGGTTAGAGCGGTATAGAAACTGAAAGTTAAATAAAAATTCTCAGTCTGAGGCAAGTATTCTTGGTGCTTGGAGGGGGGGGCAAGAGTGGGAGGGCTCCTAGTGTCCTGGCCCCACTGCTGGATCTCCTGATGGCCCCTGGTATTTTTGGCCACTGTGCGACAGAGTGTTGGACTGGATGGGCCACTGGCCTGATCCAACATTGGCTTCTCTTATATTCTTATGAGATCTTAGAAACACGTTATGAACATCATGCCCTAGACTGATCAAAAAAAGGGAACCTAGGTCAGTGTTCTCAATGGCTATTATAGGGCAATGCAGACGGACTGCCATCTGGGGGATGGCTGAGAGGGCGCAAAACTTCCTTCACTTCATAATCAGGACCAGGAAGACCCATCCCTTCATGGGGACAAAAGCCTTCTTGTCACTCCTCCTTCTGGGTGGCCCAGATACCACCAACAGCTCCCCTCCACCCCGAACAGCCCCAGGGTTAGAAGAGAAGCATTGTGCTTCTTGTGCTCCCTCACTGCAAACCAGAAAGAGGCATGGAGGAGGACATCATGAATGGGATCACAAGGTGTGGGAGATTCTGTGGAATACTAAAGGTGCAATAATAAAGAGAACAATCAGAACTTCCTATGCCTGTCTCTTACGGGTTTGACACTAAATGGCTATGTTGGGGGGGGGTCATAAAAGACAAAAGGCAGGAATGTTGTTGTTGTTCAGTCGCACAGTCGAGTCCGACTCTTCGCGACCCCATGGACAATCTCCCGCCAGGCTCTCCTGTCTTCCGCCGTCCTCCGAAGTTGGCTCAATTTCATGTTCGTTGCATCGCTGACACTGTCTAACCATCTCATCCTTTGCCGTCCCCGTCTTCTTTGACCTTCAATCTTTCCCAGCATCAGGGTCTTTTCCAGTGAGTGCTCCCTTCTCATTTGGTGGCCAAAGTATTTGAGCTTCAGTTTCATTATCTGGCCTTCCAGGGAACAGTCAGGGTTGATTTCTTTGAGGATTGACTGATTTGTTCTTCTTGCAGTCCAAGGGACTCTCAAGAGTCTTCTCCAGCACCATAGTATGAAAGAATCTATTCTTCGGCGCTCGGACTTCCTTATAGGAATACATATTTTTAATAAATCATATTAGTGGCCCTGTAACAGTGGCTTGAGGAAAAAAACAACAGGGTCCAGAGCAGGGGTCGGTTGGAGCCGGAGCGCACAGGAGCGGCAATCCGGGAGTGAGGACCCCAGGAGGCAGGCACATGACAGAGCCCTGCCCCCTGCTTTCAGCTGCCCATCTAAGGTGCGGGCTCGTCCCGGCACACCGCAGCTGCGGGGGGCGTGGACGAGCCATGGAGGGGGAGGCGGTTTAAACTGCCTCTCCTTCCATCTAAGGTGCCGGCTTGCCTGTGCGCCCCGCAGCCGCAGGACACGCGGGGCAAGCCATGGAAGGGGAGGGGGCTTAAACGTCCTCCCATTCCATCTAAGGTGCTGGCTCGCCCGTGCACCCCACAGCTGCGGGACGCGTGGGCATGCCATGGACAGGGAGGGGGTTTAAACCGCCTTCCCTTCCATCTGATGCCAGGGGGTGTGGCATATGGAAATAAGTTATGATAATGAGTTATGCTAATGAGCTTCTGCACCTCTTTTTCTACGAAATGACCCCTGGTCCAGAGCAAAGAAACAATGGGTACCAAAAACATCCTTTCTTTAAGAACAAGCAGGATAAAAACACATTTCTTAACAGCAGTCATGGGAAGCAAAAGGTTTCAAAAGCAGAGGTACAGAAAGATATCCTATGATTTTCATTCTGATTCTTCAACAGCTGAGGGTTAAGGGTTTGTCTCCCCTTTCCTAGAATCTTCACCCCCACCTCATTATCCCCATCCTGGAAAGGCATTAACATCCACCACAACTAAAGACAAGAAGTCAGAGTAAGACAATGTGTTGTGCTCTGGAGCCTAGAAAAACGTTTCCTTGCCAGAGAACCAGTGTGCGTGGTTTCCCCCCACCCAGACTCAACAACAGTCTCCAAGATGATCAAAAGTTCACAGCCACAGCTTCAACCCAAATCAAACAACAGCAGGAGATACCAAGAACTGGCTCTGGCCTGTCCCTGGAGTATTCCTGCCTGAAGATCCAGGCTCTCGGAAGGCACAGAGAGGAGTCTTACCTTAGTCTGTCGTAATTCAGCATTACGAAAGCTAGCAGCACCATCACGCAGAGAGCTCTTCTCTTCGGAGGTGAGGCTTTGAGACTCTGGTTCTGGAGACAGACAAAATTAGGAAAATAAAAATTAAACAGAGGCCGAAATTTTACCGTCACTTTCAAACCTTAGGGTTGTGGTTGATGCGCGCACGTCACAATTTAATGCTGATTTAATGCTGTTTGTATCCCTCACGCCTGAGAAAAGTCCCTGGGGAAACAGGCGCTCTGGTGCCTGACATGGAGCACCGGCAACATGACCGCAAGACCCCAACACATGCTCCCTGTCAGAGAGTCATCCGAGAGTCTTGGCGGGGAGCCCCGAGGGTGGCAAGAGGCAGCCACCAGCCACATTCCCCAAAGCTGTTTTTGCAAGTCCGGAAAACTGCCTATTTACAACCTGAACTGAAGGTGAGCTAAAGGGCAAGGATCAGGAAGGCTAAGATTGCCTAGCAGTACAGAGCAAGAAGATGGTCCTATCATGCTACCGACAGCCAGGCCCCCCCAAACACGCAGTTATCGGATCACAGTGAGAACGGGACACAGGAGGCAAACAGAAGCGGAATCCACCAAAGTGGAAGGCTAAAATGGCCGCCTGAACAGACTCCTGAATCCAGATTCTGTTACCAGCACCCGGAACACCACGCGTGCAACAGCCACCAACCTCCACTGCCAAGTCACCCAGCTGCCTCTTTAGGGTGCCGTTCTCTCTCCTGAGGCGATCGTTCTCCAGCAAGGCTGACTTCAGCCTCTCCTCCAAGCCCAGCAGGTATTCTTTTTTCTTCCGGCGCGACTGACAGGCCGATTCCCGGTTTTTTATCATGCGCTGCTGCCGTCTCAGAACGTTCACCTGCAGAAGAGGACAAAGAAGCTGGCTGGGCACCCCAGAATCTTGCTCTACTCCCAGGAGCCAACTAGAAGACACCCCGGCGAGCGCCTCAAGGCAACAGGGACTTATCCAGACCAACTTCTCAGGGCTCATTGGCGTGAAGGGGCCAGGCACTGGAAGCAGCCTTGGGCCTTTGCTAACCTCAGTGATTGTCCCGTCCCCCCCCCCCCCCCGGGCCCCCCCCGCGGGGGGCGGGGGGGGGCGGGACTCTAATCTGGGAGAACCTGGTTTGATTCCCCACTCCTCCACTTGCAGCTGCTGGAAGACCTTGGGTAAGCCATAGTTCTGTCAGAGCTGTCCTTGAAAGGGCAGTTCTTGAGAGAGCTCTCTGAGCCCCACCTGACTCACGGGGTGTCTGTTGTGGGGAGGGGAAGGGAAAGGGGTTTGTAAGCCGCTCTGAGACTCCAAGTGAAGGGCGGGGTATAAATCCAATCTCATCTTCTCTTCTTCTTCTTCTTCTACTGCTCCAAGACAAAGTGGGCTTGTTCAAATAAGAGAATCCACAGGCAAACCTGGCCTAGTCCTTCCTGAAGCAGGGAACCCTCCTCTGGGTGGCTGGAAACCATTTAGCAAGTGGTGTGGGCTCTCAAATATGCCTCCCTACAGTCCCCTGCTCCTTTCTGCTCCCAGTCAGGGTGAAGACTAGCCCATTCGCTTACCGACACACCAGTTTGCTACATACAAACCTGCAAGCCCCTCACCATGCTCCGGTTTGCTACCTCTGAGAGAATAAGGCCTCCTGTTGCCCAGCACTCACTGAAGGAGCACAGACATTTGTCTGGTAAATGGGGGAGGCAGGACACGGACCTAGTTTCTGAAGTGTGCTCAGGTCTCAGTAAATTTCATTCACTGCCACAGTCTATGTGGTGTGCCTTCATTAAGGGAGCGAGATGGCAACACATCTTTCAGAAGAGACATCCGTTCCACCAAGCACCCAGTGGAAACTCCTGCACTTTTGCTTCTTCCAAATAAGTGGATCTCGCTCATTCAGAAACCGTTTTCTGCCACTTCACCAGCACTAAGAGGCCTAACTTGACACATCCAGGGAGAGATGCCATCCATGAAATATTCAATATTCCATGGTTACCCTGGGCAAAGCCCTCTTATGCAGATATTCTTCAGCAGAAGCAAGATGGCATGTACTTTTTCCTTCTTTTAACCCACAGATTTTTAAATACTAAGCACAACTTCTAGTTTCAGGTACCTTGAGCTTATCCTCCAATGTGGATGGGGTGGTTTTAATTCAAACATGGTTTACTTTCCCTTTATTTTCATGCATCTTTCTATTATGCCTTCTTGTGTTTCTTGCTTTACATCTGCTGTTTTCACGTGTTGCGTTAATAAAGACTTTAATTCACTGAAGTCAGCAAGGCATTTTTCTAATTTAGATTATCTAGCCTCTAAACCCTTTCCAGTAGCCCCTATTTTTGCACGTTGGTCTTTGCACCAAGGGAGACAGCTGAGAGTGAAACACTAATCTAATATTTTCCATCAGCAGACTCTTCTCTCTCTCTCCAACTGAGCTCTGGGAGGGGGTTGCATGTCTTTGTATGGACTTCATGATCTAATATTAAATTTAGCTAAGCAAGAGACAATTACGCAGGATTATCTAATTTGCTATAATTCCATTGCCATAATCTAATTACATTTTAAGAGCAACGGACAGAACTAACAAAACCGCATGTGCTGTTTTCCAGCAGGGCGCAGGATATTAGTCAAAACAAAACAAAACAAAGCTTTTACCACCAGCAGATTAAACAATGGGAAAACAATCTGCTTGAATGGGAAGGTGCTGACAGTAACGGTCATTCACAGAGTATGGGCATTTCCCTGTGAGAGAACTGGGAATTAGGTGGAAGCTCATCTAGTTCTCACCTACTTTTCAAACTTCTGCTTTGATTTTTACCTGGTTGCCAGCTACCAAAGTTTGGCAGGTGAACAATGGGAGGAAAAGCAGTGATTCCTTGGAGTTGATTCCCTGCGTGTTGAGAAGCCTTTGGAGGGAGCACAGTGTGGCTCCCCCATACTAACTGCACCCACTGTTCAAGTACAGTAGCACAACAAGACAAAGTAGCACAACAAGGCTTAAGTAGCACAACAGGACTTAAGTAGGTTTAGCAAGGGGAAGCAAAGGGACTCAAGAGCAGTAACGCTGGGATTCCTGGATAGGGGAGAGCACTTACACTATCATTCCCAATATTACTGTGATCTGTCCCCTGCCCTGCATGGCACAGAAGGGCCTGGATGCTGCTGGGCCAAGAAAACAAACAAGAACATTTTAAGATCTCTACCTACCCCTCCCTGCAAGCCTCGCCGACTGTTCAGGGGTTATTTATTTTTATTCCCCCAAGGAGCTAAGGGTGGCACACGTGGCTCTCCCCACCTCTGTTTTATCCTTGCAACAACCCTGTTGGGTGGGTCAGGCTGCAACTGTGTGAATGTTCCCTCTAAGCTGTGGAGTCCTCTGAGCAGAAATTCTACTTTGTGAGCCACTGACATTAAAGTTGTGAGCAGGTGATTTGGCCACTGCATAAACTAGTTTGCTCTGGAGCCCTCCTTCCTGAGCTAAGAGAAAAATGTGTGAGCCGGAGGCTAAAAAACTGTGAGCTAGCTCATACTAACTCAGCTTAGAGGGAACACTGGTGACGGGTCCAAGGTAACCCAGCAAGCGCCCACGGAAGAGTGGAGATTCGAACCTAGGTCTCCTAGATCCTATTCTGACACTCTGACTGCCATAGCACGCTGACCCTAACCAAGAAAGGCTCTCCGCCCAGCTAACTAACTGCCTAACACACTATTAGAAAAGACACCTTTACACACTTATATCCTATTTTGACATATTTATTGCTTTACTGTCCTTTTCTCCCTTAATTAAATCAAAACAACGGCTGACCTTATAACCTTAGCTTGTTATTTAGTTTTGTCTTTGCATATCTTACAACACCTTCATCGTGTTACATGCTAATTTGCTGTTCAGCCTCTGTCTAGAAGTCTGAACTCTACCTTCCATTTCAGTGTATTTGAAAAAATGTGCCGTGCACACGAAAGCTCATACCTTGAATAAAGCTTTGCTGGTCTTGAAGGTGCCCCACTGGACTGTAAATTTCTTACACTACCAGTGAAAGAGCATTATTTCAAAGACTGTTCCCAGCGTGGCATAGCAAATGGTGGTGGCGGGGAGCTGAGAAATGCTAAGGACGGGGAAGGGAGCCAGAGCTGGAGCTTCCTTAGACAGAGCCAGATCCATAAATATAATGGCGTGTACAGAGTCAGAACCTAAAAAGGTTAGTCAAGAATAGCAGAGGGCCAGCTCTA